ATCATATTATTATTAAATTAATTATATTAATTGTTTAATAATCTTATTTTAATATTTATTGATAAGAGTTTGTTTTGTCATAGATAATATTAAAATTTTTTTAAATATATAAGACTTATAAAAGAGATTTAATTTTGTAATATTTTCTGTCATTTTTCACATTTTTTCAAAAATAGATTCAACGTGTTATATTTCAAAATTTTTTATAGAAATTATAATAGTCATACTTAGCGAACCATGAATATAACTCCTACATTATATAGATATAATTACGTATATGTTATATAATATTAATATCTGTATTTGTTGTATGCAATAAAATTTCTGTGGAAACTTATATTTTTACTTAATCTGCTGAAGATTAGCTTACCTTGCCGCTAACATTTTCACAGATATGATTAAATGATATGAGTTTTGTTAAACATATAATAAACCACACATCGCTGCGGAGTATTAACTTCAGTCGAAATAAATTACCACCATACATTTGTTTTAAACATAACATCGTGTGATATTGAAAATTAAACATAACGATTAAAATAATGAAATAAGATATCATTTGTAAGGTCATATGTATGTTAAATAAGTCGTGTATATCGGAAGCTATCCGGCAAAGTTCTGAATGGAGATGCCTGAAAATATTAATAGATAATATTAATAGATAATTATCGAGAAATGAAAAATACATACAATTATTAAAAATATACATATAATTATTTGTTTGTTATTTTTAAGATATGAACTATATACATGCGTTTACGTTTTTAAACAAAATCAAACATGATTTAATTAATATAAAAATATACTATTATTTGTTAACGTTTTTTAAGCTTTATGACAAGATTTGGCGATCATAAAGATTCCATTACAGTTTTGGCAACTGTGTGTGTTGTCCGTTCGCGAAATCCAATATTGAATAAAAATATTGCTGAAGTAGACTCCAAAGAGAGTCGAAACGTTCAATGAGTTCTCAAGACTTTAAATAAAGATAACATCTATACATCAAACGGAATAACAATTTTATTTGTTAAAAATTTTATTGCGCATCTTTTTCCGCGATGACTCTCATTAGCCCAGATTAATTTTCTTTGTTATTTTAAAGAAAAAGAGTCCTTGGTTAACACATTTATTAATATGCATAAAATTGACACAAATCAAACAACAGGAATTTTATGAATATAATTATAATGCAGTAATATATATAAAGTTGATGAAGATATTCTTCTTTTCTAAGAAATTTTCTTTATTATTTCTATTATTTTAATATATATCAACTTACATTGTGATCCACAATATATGTTTGCGATTTCCTGTGCTGCGGATATTCAGTTGAGTGACGAAGAGAGGCTTTTTCCATGTGCATTTTAATCCATATTCTTCTATCACTGATAATTTTTTAATGTGTTTATTTATTTTATCTAATCTAGTACCTATATATCTGTAATTTGAAGAATATTAAAAAAGTCGTTTGTTAAATTACTTTTTGAAGTAAAATAAAAAGTATTTAAACCATTAACTTTTTTTACTTATAATTCTATAATTTTATAACAGTGATATAGTGCAATGTAAATTTCTAAATTTGTATTGTACGTTATACATTAAGTTGAAGAGTTCTATATTTAATGCGTAATAGCAAGTAAATATTTATGAGACATTACGCTAAAATCAGAAATAATTTGATTTTAAATGTACTTATAACGTTTTTAAATCTAAAAATGCAAGTATTTTTTAATTTGTCTAAACTACATTCACTAGATTAAAAATGATCTTATTATTAAATAATTTAAAAAAATAAAATTTACAAACCTTAAGAGAAACATATACATTATATCTATAAAGGTGTTGATATGTAAAAGGTAATCTTTAATGATGGGGATAAACATGGCTCTTGCATCATTATATTTTTCTATATACCATAAAGAATCGGTAAACCATGTTGTGCACACCATTATAAACCATAAAGTAAATATCAATTTCATAGAATTTCGCATTCTACGATATTCCTTGGGCGTTCCGAGCAGTTCTAATGTATTATCCACAAAATTCAACTTTTTTATACATATGCGGAATTTCTAAGGATAAAGAATAAAGGACAGTAATAAGAAAATATAGTTATATACGGATATAAATGTTTCTCTGCAGAATATGGATATGTATTAATTCTTGATATACACGATTATGAGAGAGAGAGAGAGAGAGAGAGAGAGAGAGAGAGAGAGAGAGAGAGAGTCATTTGTGTTCTTCGCATTTTTTTTCTTTAAAATAATAAGGACGCTATAAATAATAGTCTCTACTCTTTCCCTAAAATAGTTTAGCATCTAGGAAACTAGAAAAGACCAGTTTTATAAAGGAATTTGGACTTCGGATGAACACTTTATCCATACTTTGAGACATGTCTAAAATTTTAAGGTATTAAAAGAGAATCAAAAATTCTACAAATCCAACTTTATAAGAGAGGTTTTCTGAGTGTTAGAACTATCCAAAGTTCGCTACTATGACCATGTACCACTAGTCTTATCCAATTTCTCTGCGTCCAGATAATCAGCCTTTGATATGGAGTCACCAAAGCAGATACTGATCGCCATGAGATCCACTGTGAGCAATATTATGTGGAAAATATTTAAAAAACCAGTTGCATAAACATTTGTTGGCTAGAAAAAGTGCTAGATTTTTTGAAACAAGAGTAGTTCTACAAGAGTCCCACTCAACACATTTAAATATACACATATGTCATGCCTGTTGGTGCCATTATAAAAGAAAACAAACAAACATCACAAACTGAATCAAGAGATGAAAACGTTACAGTTAAAAATACTACCCGCAGCCTCTTTGTCAAATCAATTAAAACTTTTTGTTTTATACTTTGAGTGTCTCTCTCCCCTCTTCATCGATTAATATATATCACTTATAACTATTTACTTGGGGTTTAAAAAAGGTTTTAATTGTCTTCGTCAAGATTGGACATATTCCATATACCAGATGATTCGAGAAATCGAATAAAACCAATCTTGCATGGTATACAATACATGATAGCGAACTTTGAACAGCAGTAATACTCAAGGGACTCATTTTACAAAGTTGTGCATATGGAACTTTTTAATCCTTTTTTTTATACTCTAAAATCCTAGCTAGGTTTCAATGCTGTTCAGCCGGGGCTCAAACTGGGAATAGCCCTTTGATTTATTGTCTTTTGCACGTTTGTGTATTATGGTTATCCTTTCTTCTTTCAATGAGAGTATTTCAGAGAAGTTCACTCTGGCTTCACGAATATTTAATCATATGTGTAGAATGAGCACTTTTCTGTAATTGAGAGATTTTCGTGTCTTCTTTATTTAGCTAATTGTTGTTTATATTGCAGAGATTTCGCAACTATTAAAAACAAAATAAAGAAAGTACAATAAATGATCATTTTCTGCTAAAATGTCGAACATTGCTATCATATTTGTGTTAACTGTGTGTGTTACAAATAATATTAAAAATTGCTATAAATAATATTCCTCTAATTAGTTGGAAATTTTTTAACGCAATATCGCCAATGAAACATTTTTTCTTAAATCACTATTGTCTCAGAGTTTTGAAATTTTATATAAGTTTTGAAAATAAAAAGAACGCATTTTTTTTATTTTATTAGTTATAATTAATTGTAATTATTTATGTGTGTGTGTACAATTTTTTATATATAATTTTATAAATACTTTCTGAAGATTTTGAAGTATATGTAATAATTACATAATA